AGGGTGCGGATGTTCAAAACATGGAGCACACAATTACAAAACCCCATGACTGAGATTACTGCTGAGATCTAATTCCTCTTTACACAGCTCATCCCTACATGGATTTCAGACGAGCAATTTTCTCTGTGAGGCTTTGTCACCAAAAGTTTCATCAATTTTCTAAATTTTACTCTTCGAAGGAAAAAAAAAATCAAAATTGGAAATGAAAAATTAATTAAAATTGTTTGAATTAATGAAGTTCTTGAGAAATACCACAAGTTAATAATTTTGGATGTGTTGTATGTTAATAGTTTCAAAATGGTTTGTGGCAGTTCAGTTTTCCTTTATGGTTTCTTTTTAACCTTCAATTAGGTCATTTTTTAAAATGAGGAAACCTGCACATTTCTTCCTCCCTTAGAAAAGATGAAAAGTTTTCTCCCATCTTCCAAACTTTTCATTGGGTCCATTTCCCAAGTTAGTTTTTCTAGTTGGTTGTGTCCATAAAAACAAAACAGAAGAGACTTTTCACCCAAATCTGCATTCCCCCACATGAAAGCAATTAAAAATACCTTCTCCACTAGTTATCACAGACACTGTTTAATCAGGTGTCCATGGGCTATTTGTTCCACCAGGCTGTTTGCTCCACTGGTGTGTTTGCACAGGATGGATAATATTCACCAAAGCAGTGCTTTTCATGCTCATCAGGTAGTTTTTCCAGACTGCTCCTTTGGACCTTGCTCATCACTTAGATCAATATTTAAATTCACAAACTTGGCTTTTGCATGTCACTTGGGTCCAGAGGGCTGCAGTCCTGCCTTGCTGGGGAGAAGGAGGTGTTGTCCTTGTTTCTGATATGAAAAGTGACAAATTCTGTCTGTTCTGGGGAATATCACTGGGTCGTAGAAACACCAGCCTTTGGGGCAGCTCTTCAGCAGATTTAAATCTGTCCCACTGCTGTAAAGGGAATACTGTTAGTTCTGTTTTGGGTTTGTTCCTAACTGAATCTGACCATTCTGTCTCTGAGTTAAAGGTGAGCTGGCTCACTCTGCCCTGGCTCCTCTGGTAGCCCAGGGCAGTGTCTTTCACAATCCCCCTGCGCACCCCACCAGCAGCTACAACCCCCTGGGGTGCCCCAGCTCCCACACTGGCCCCAAGCACAGCTCCAGATGCAGTATCATCCACTGTCTGTCCTTCCCATCCCATCCCATCCCATCCCATCCCATCCCATCCCAGCTACATCTCACCCCCATCCGCCTTGCTACAGCAGCCCCCAGTGAGCTCCACAGCCACACTGCTCCCTTCCCCTCTGTGCTTGTGTTAATAAATATATTCAGCCACTCAGGGCCTGGGGTGACCTCAGGCTCTCCACTATTAACCTTTCTGCCTGCTGAGAATTGGACATTTGTTCCTTTTCTTCCCTCCCTGTCTTATCTTGGTTTTAATCCATGCCTTGGCTTTTCCTCTCATCCTGTGGTTACCAGGTTTCCTTAATAGTCTCCTATGAGGGACTTTATCAAAAGCCTTTTGAAAGCCTTAATAAATTATAGGCACGACTCTGCCAGTCCTTGTTATCTTGTTAACCCTTCTGGAGCATTCCCAGCTGGGGTGAGAGAGCAGAGCCCCTGCCTGCCTACACGGGATCATGGCCAGCTCTGCAGAAAGCCTTTAGGGCTCTCTTGAGTCTCCTGCCTGGATCAAGAGGATGTGGCATTTATGATGCTGAAACAATTTCCAGTTTCACTTCAAGAGGAAGAGCTGTTCTGGGGAACTGAAAAGCCACCCATCAATTCCCCTCAGTAAAAAATATGTTGTGCTGTTTGGTGGACTTGGTAGTACTTCATATGATTTCCATTTTAATTTTGACTTTAACTTGTGACCATACATGGACAAGACAGTGAAGGTATTTCCAAGCAAAGAAAAGATACTGTACCATGCAGATATTGAAGGAGGTAGCTTCAACATTTTTTTAAAAGGTCTTTTTATAAATAATTTTGAAGCAGAAGGAATCCATATGAGTTTTTCTGGTGGAAAAGCCATTTCAGGAACCTGGAACATTATGGTCTTCCTAAAGCCCCATGGGCCATTCCATCCCTTTCAATTTTAGCTTAGCATACATCACAGATGAAGAAGGCACCTCTGCTGCTGGATGAGAATAGCTCCCCAGCTGGGGGTGCATTCAAGCGAGCTGCACCCCCTTGTGTGCGTGGTAGGACAGTAGCAGGTCACTGTCACATGTGATCAGGAGGAGAACATCCCCAGCCTTACACCTTCTCCAGGATGATGTGGGGAACACCCCTCTCTCCAGCATGTCTCCCTGCCCTCTGCTCCTTCTGGAATTCAGTATCTGGACTCAAAATGTCTTCTGTGGTTTAACAAGAAGTGCAGGCACCTCCTGCAAGTCCCGGGCTCTGCTCAGACGTGTGTCCCTGCCACAGCAAGCAGCCATCCCTCCCCACCCCACATCACTCCAGCTTTCCAAACCTTTTGGTTGGAGGTCATTGACGGCGTATTTAATTCCCCATGGAGCATGCAGTTAAATCTCAACTGTCTCCTCACCTTTTCTTACCTCTTACCAGCTTTAGGAGTCCAGCTCCATCCTCCTGGAATTTTTCCCTTCCACTTGTACATCAAGCCGTGTCTCGGTCAGAGCAACTCAATTACTCTTTTGCTGAAATCTCCTGGGTAATTTGAGTGAGATTGGCTCAGCAGGAAGTGGTGTGCTGGCTCTGTCTGTGCCAGGCAGCTTCAACACCGTGTGCCAACTCCAAGACCATGGCAGAGCCCTGCAGCTGCCCCTGGAGAGACCAGGAGAGCAGGAAAACACAGGATGTGATCACCTATGGGAGAGTGTGGGTCCAGAAAAACTTCCATGCAGTGCACCAGCACCTGACCTGACCCCCATCCTTCCTCAAACTCCTTCTCTACATCCACTGTGTTGCAAAATGAGGAGAGGGCAGCCAGGAATGGCAGTGTGGGAAATGTAGATGGCACAGATGGGCGAGGGAAGAGCCCTGCTCACAGGGAAGTTCCCCCAGCCCCTTGGCTCTCCATCATTAATTAGGTGTTTCCACGAGCAAGGCAGCAATGGTACCTGCACCTAAATTAGCAGTGCACTGCTGGGCACCAGGCTAATGCCTCTCTCCACCTGCACAGGTCTCCGTGTGCCTTGCTAATCACAAAAAATAGGAGCTCTGCCATGTCTATGGACTTTCATATCCCAGGTAGCCTGTGTGTGAATGCCTAATGCCTGCCTGATTATTGTTCGCCTGGCATTCAATAGTTTGAAAAAATAAAAAGTCCCATAGTTAGAGAACGAGATAGGACTGTTTAATTTCAGGCCATTATCTCCTGGTAATTGCTGGAGGAATTTCATTCTATGCCAGTGCAATGGAAAAAAAAAAAAATTATGTTTTTCCCCCTTTTATGGAAAAAAAAAAAAAAAAAAAAAAAGACAGCCTGCTTTTCTCCAAGGGGTTCAGGGCTTTCAGGCCATGGTTGGAAGCAAGAGCTGTGGCTGCTTTATCAAATTCGCATTTCATTTCCAGCATGCACCCAAGCCGCATGTAAATTATAATGAGAAAAGGGGAAAAAACAAAGAGATAGAGCTCAAGAGATGGGAAATGATAATGAAATCGAATGAACTCAGGGCCTTTGAAGACTAACAGAGCCACAGACAGACAGATATGTACACACTGACAGAGACAAGCAAGAGGCATGCATGAGGAGACAGCAAGAGTAGAAGGCTGATAGAGACAAAATTGGGGATTCGCACCCATGGCATGCACAAGGACACAACATATGTGTGATCCTGGAAGGATCTCTGCTCCACAAGGACCTTCAAAGCCATGGTTCTGGGGTGTACAGCTCACGAGAGGCTTCTGCTGCCAGTTTTCCCCATGTGTGCCAGTCCTGCCATGCTGCTTCAGAAGTCCCAAGGGTATGTGATGAAACCTAGCACCATTTTCCCCAGGGGAAAGGACCCTTTGCAATCTTCAGCTTCACAACTCTATATTTCCCAGTGCAGCCAAGCCATGAAGCTTTGGAAGGATGTGCCCACTGCATGATCTGATCTGGGGGTGAGTCCTTCTGGGAGTGAGGAAGGGGAAAATTTCCAGTAAACTCCTGTGCTTCCTTGTCACCTGTGTGAAGGAACAGATGTTCAGCCCTCCACTAAGGTCAAAAGCGAGCCTGAGACATGGAATTCAACCAGCCTCACCTGCACAGCTGAGGATGTTGACTTGAGGCTGGAGAATGAAAGCTGTTCTACTGCTGGGAGATAACCTTTCACTTCTGCTGGATATTTAGATTTGGGTCACATCTCATAAACGAGAGTTCTAGCAGGGATTTTAGAAGGCTCTGGTGGTATTTGGGCAGGAAAAGGTCTGCTATTCTGGCTGCCACTTTTCAGCTTTGCCTTCAAGCCCTGTAGTGTCAGGGGTGACCAAGTTGCAAGCAGAGGACTGAGACCTGGTAAATGTCACTCTTCCAAGGCCAGCAGGCCAGTGGTACATTAAAGAGCAGCCAGGATCCCCCCATCATGAGCAAAGTTTGGAGACCATGTCCCAGCAGCTCCCAAATCAGAGCAGAGAGAGAGACTGGCCCTTGCTCCCCATGCATCACACCACAAAGGAACAGCCTCTGCAGCCCAGGAAGGTAAAGGCTGACTGCCCTGGGTGCCACAATCCACCAGGGCCAGAAAGATGCCATGAGGTTCATCATCCTGAGTTTTAGGGAGCTTCAGTTCATGGCTCCCATCTGGGTCAGTCACTCTGGCAGTTCACCCCTCTCATTGCTGAAAACCTGTGCTATGCTTCTGGGCTCAAAGGGGTAAAGAAAGAAGGAAAGACAAGGTGCCACTACCTAAACCAAAATACGGTAAGAATAGCCAGGCAAATACCAACATTGTCACTAAATCCCAGTGCTGCAAGCTACCTAGCTACCCAAGAAAAGCACTTGTGCTTGCTTGAGTAACTTCTGAACCCCTCATGATGAATCACACACAACTCATGAGTTATTAGGGATTAATTTAATCATGTTTATTTATTGTCATTGAGATTAAGGGAGAAGCTGGCAACCAGCAGCCATTGGGATACCTGCTCCTGGGCATGCTGGGGGTGATGTGGGAGCCCATGCAGGTCAGGATGCTGCTGCCAAGGGCTGAAGATCAGAGCAGTTTTGTGTAGTGTGCTCCCAAAATCCCAGGACAGGGCAGACTGTGACTTTCATCAGGCCTCGTGGTGCTCTGCAGATCCTGTGAGCAGCAGACTGGCACCAACAGGATCTAAATTTGCACAAGAGTAATTTGAAAATCCTTCAGAGCTTGCTAACTTCTCTTGGCTCTAACAAAACCAATGCAGGAAAATCAGGATTAAAAAAGGAAAAAAAAAAAAAAGGAAAAAAAAAAAGGAAAAAGAAGCCAGAGATTGATTCTTACCTCATATCATTAAAAAATAAATTGCTGTAGCGCTATAACATAAAGTAAGAATCAATCTTATTTTTTAACACCAGAAATAACCTAATGAAATACAAGATTGATTCTGAATATGGGCTTCTTGGTGGAGCCCCTGTGGGAATTGATTACAAAATTGAATGTCTCAGAGCTGATAAGATGAATTTGGAATAAATCTTACTTTTAACTACTCCCTTTTTATGCTCATAAAAAAAAGAAAGATTGATTCCAATCAAAACTTCTTCTAAAAAGTGAGACAGTTTCGATTTGTCGAGGCAGTTTTTCAACAGAACAGCACTGAACTTCAGAGCCAATCTCACCCCTAGTTATGCGTTCCCCAGGGAGGAAAAATACGAGGCACAATATTTCTGATTTACAGCTTGAAATGAGACAGTAATGATCATAATAATCAGGACAAGAAGAAGGAGAGAGCCTCAAGTGGATGGCAGCTCTCTCGACTGATGATGCCAAGGGAGGCAGTGATTTGGAAAGTGAAGGTGGAGAAGCAGCTCCCCCTCCACTGTGCTGCAGGGGACTGCTGAGGACACCTCACTCTGCAGATTCCAGGGTGTAACATTGGGTCTGTTTATTCTGCAAAAAAAAGTCCTGCTGGGAGTCCCTCCAGCTTTCCAGGACTGTATCTCTGGCCCTACCTGCATCTCCTGGCTGGCCCACAGTGGCAGTAGCTCCTTGAAGCTTTCTGCATTTATGGGTAGGAGGTAGTTTTGAGTTTCCAGTCCCAGCTCAGTTACAGCCAGTGCAGTCCCATCACATCACACCATGTCCTAGGAGATGCATAATTTCCCTCTGGCCAACCTGCCAGTTCACTGGGATGCAGGCTATCCAGTCCCACCAAGCTCAGAGTTCTGGGCTTCCCAAGCTTTGCTTCCAGACTGTCTATGAAAATTCCTATACCCTCTTTCTAATTTCTAATTACACTTCATGATTTTGCTCCCATGGGCAGCAGACCTGGCCTTATCAAAAAATGAGGCAAAGTGGTGGTTTGGTCTCCGGGTCCACTCTCTGCTTCCTTTAATCTCTCTACCCCCATTGCTGCTTTACAGGAAGCAGTTCCAGGACTCTTGTTGGGTGGGTAGTTTCTCCTTGTCTCCAGATTCTATTTATTCATGGCCCATTCATGCATGTCTGTTCTACTGTCAATATTTCATTTCAGCTTCAGTCACTCCCTTTCCCACCTGGGCACCTCTGCAAGATGGTGGCTTGCTCCCATCTCTTCCTCCAAATGCTTCTATACCAGGGTGATCTCACAAAGGATTTTTTTCCCCACTTTTCAGAAGAAATGTTACTCTGATATCCAACTTGTGTCTGTTTTTCAGTTGCTGAATAAAATTCGAAGACCATCCATCTCTTTCTTTTTCTCTCTCTTTCCTTATAGAATCAAAGAATCATAGACTGGTTTAGGTTGGAAGGGACCCTAAAGATCATATCATTCCAAACCCCCTGCCCTGGGAGGGACACCTTCCTCTAGATCAGGTTTTTCAGAGTTCCATCCAGCCTGGCCTTAAACACTTCCAGCCATGGGGCATACACAGCTTCTCAGGGAAACCTCTTCCCATGCCTCACCACCCTCACAGTAAAGAATTTCTTCCCAATATATAATCTAAACTCACTCTCTGTTTGAAGTCATTCCCCTTGTCCTGTTGAACTGTTCAACAGTTCCTGTTGAAGACTCTTTCTCAAACTCTCCTGTAGCCCTTCTAGGTACTGAAATTTGCTCTAAGATCTCCCCAGAGCCTTCCCTTTTCCAGGCTGAACAATCCCCACTGTCTCAGTCTGTCCTCACAGCAGAGGTGCTCCATCCCTCTGATCATCTTGGTGGCCTCCTCTGGGTTCACTCCAGCAGGTTCCTGTCCCTCCTGTGCAGGGACCCCAGCTCTGGATGCTCCAGCTGGGTCTCAGCAGAGCAGAGCAGAGGGGCAGAATCCCCTCCCTCCCCTGCTGCCCACGGGGCTCTGGATGCAGCCCAGGATATGGTTCAATACGGCTCCTTCCTTTCAGTACTCACAAAAACAACATTTAAAAGTAACATCATCCACAGCACCATCACTTCTGAATTATTTTTTGCCACTAAACACATTTTAGGTGCACTGAGACTGCTCACAGAAACAGTCTGTGTTTGTTTTTCCCACAATTGCACAGCCAGGACTGCTTGGACACAGACCCATCCCTGCAACATGTGAATGTCGGACAATTCCCTTCCTCCTTTGCCTGGATCTCCCACATTCCCAGCAAAAGGCCTCTCCCTTCTCTGGGACCCACACACCAGACCCAGATGGGCGATGAGAGATGAGATGCGTTGCTTCTGACACGTGGGGTCCTGGGGAGACTGCAGCCCCAGCGTGACGCTCCAGCTGGGGAGGTGCCACACAGCAGGGCCAGGCGCTCTGCCTGTGAGCAGACACACAGCCCCAGCTGTGCTGAGCACAGGGACTCCCTCCCTGTCACACACCGGGCACACCAGATGTGCTCCTGACGTCCTTGAGTGCTGTGACGCACGAGGAAAGCGAGGGAGCCGCTGGCGCCTGCTCGGTGCTCGCCCCAAGCTCAGGAGAACCTTTGGTGTGTCACCACGGTCCATGCTGACCGTGGAGTCGTGGCACAGGTGGGAAGAGGCATTCATCCTCCTTTCCCCCTCCCTGGACACCTGGCTGTGATTTCAAAAGCACTGCAGGCTGAATTCATTGCTGAGTACCCTGGTTCCTGCAGACTGGGAGGCAGCTCGTAGGTCTAGATGAAGAACAATTTAATTCTCTGATCCCAGCAAAATCTGGTCTGCATTAAAAATAACAAAAACTCCCTCAAACCCATTGTGTTTAAATAATGTTAAAGATCTGACTGAGAGCATCGAAAGCAAATTCCAAGCCCTAATGAAGAAGGATTGTCTGGCATGGTAATAATAATAAACTCTGTGCACACATGTATGTATGTACGTATATACAGAAAGAGAATCTCATCTGAGGAGCTGAGAGCCCTACAATTAGTGTGATCTCATGGCTGCAGCAGGAAGCACAGCAGGTAAGTGCTCTTGACCTGCACTTCTCAGCTTGGTGAAGGCAGAGGAAAGGGGTGGTCCAGAGAAGGGAAAAAGCAAGGTTTGCCTCCCACACTATCCTCCTCCCAGCTGCAGCCCTGGGATTGTCTGCTGGGCAAGGGGTCTGTTTTTCAGAACCTGTTTGCAGGAGAATCAAGAGGACTCATGGCAGCAAGTGTCTGTCTGGTCCCAGCCCAGCACAGCTGTGATGGCCAGACTGGAGAGGCTGTTTTGCAGCCATGGAACACAGGTGAGGTACAAAAGGTACCTCTGCCTTGGGGTCAGTCAGAAATGACAGGTGTATGGCAAACATGCCCATTGACCTCAAAACAGGGAATAAGAGGCAGTGGCAGGAGACTGCATGGAGAGCTAATCTCACACAGATCACCAGGGCTGAACACCCCAGCTCCCAGCCCTTGCTGCAAGGAGCTGTCCTTGTCCCACAGGGCATCCGTGAGATTGTCCTTCCATGCTGTGGGTTTGTTCAGCAGCTTTTTCACTGACTCAGGTGATAATGCTCCCAGCCCTCCCCAGGGAACTCCGTTCAGCAGTTTCTGTCACACTCCTCCACTTCATTATGCTTAACAGATCCTCCTCTGCCTTCCTGTTCATGTCCTTCAGATGCCTATACTCTGATGAGAGGGGAAGGAAGAAAAAAAAAAGCATCTTCTAGTTCCTACCATACATGCAGCTTCACAGTGAGAGCTGGAAAAGCAATGCTGATGTACCACAAAGCCACAGGAATATGGAAAGCTTAGTAGGTGCCCAGTGACCACAAGGAAGGGTGTGGGATGGGTGCTGAACTGTCCAGGAATACTGGGAGGTGGGAAAGCATCTCCCTCAGGGGCACTTTTGTGCAGGGCAGTTCCTGAAGGTCAGCAATGAGAAGTCAGACCCCAATTTGCACAGGCTGCAGCTGTAGGTCTTGACAGCAGAGCCCATCCTGGGCCTGCTGGCAGATGTCTGGTCAACCTGGAGCCACATCTCTCAGTCCTTCCTCACTTCTCTGGGCTGAACTCACTTTATAATTATGTGAGGACACTGTCTCCAACAGGATTCTCCTGGAGAAATTGGCAGCCCATGGCTTAGACAGGCGCACTCTTTGGTGGGTAAAAACTAGCCTGCCCCAGAGAGTGGTGGTGAATGGACTTAAATCATCTTTGGCTGGTCACGGTGGTTTTCCCCAGGGGTCAGTTCTGGGGCCAGCCCTGTTTGATGTCCTTACTGATGATCTGGATGAGGGAACTGAGAGCACCCTCAGCCAGTTTGAGAACACCAAGTTGGGTGGAGTGTGGATCTTCTGGAGGTCAGGAAGGCTCTGCAGAGGGATCTGCACAGGCTGGATCCATGGGCTGAGGCCAATTGTGTGAGGTTCAACAAGGTCAAGCGCTGGGTCCTGCCCTTGGGTCACAACAACCCCCTGCAGCTCCAGGCTGGGACAGAGTGGCTGGAAACCTGCTGAGTGGCAAAGGACCTGGAGGTGCTGTTTTTTGGTGGCTGGACATGAGCTGGAGTGTGCCCAGGAGGCCAAGAAGGCAAATAACACCGGGCTTGTGTCCGCAGTAGTGTGGCCAGCAGGACCAGGGCAGTGCTCATCTCCCTGTGCTGGGGGCACTGGTGAGGCCATACCTTGAATCTTGTGTTCAGCTTTGTTTCCTCAGCAAGAAGGACCCTGAGGTGCTGGAGAGTGTCCAGAGAAGGAAAAGGAGCTGGGGAAGGGTCTGGAATACATCTGATGAAGAGCTGAGGGAGGTGGGGGAGCTCAGCCTGGAGAAAAAGCAGGTTCAGGGGGAACCAGAAAAAGCAGGTTCAGGGGGAACCTTATCCCTCTCGACAACTCTCTGACAGGAGGGTGTAGGCAGGTGGGGGTCAGTCACCTCTGACATATAACAACAGCTAAGGCAGGAGGAAACAGCTTCAAGTTCCACCAGGGGAGCTTTAGTTTGGGTGTAAGAAAAATTCCCTCACTGAAAGGGTTATCAAGCACTGGAACAGGCTTGGTGGTGTCACCATGCCTGGAGGTATTTAAAGCACTTGTAGACGGGGCACTGGGAAATATGGACTTGATAATCCTAGAGGTGTTTTCCAGCCTAAATAATTCCATGATTCTGTGATCCCCAAGTGAAAATCTGGACAAACAACTAAGCAAGAAGAGAGATATGTACTCATAGCCACCTCACTTTCTGCTCCCAAGGCCTCCATGGCCCTTTTAATCACCTGGGCTTGCTTATGCTGTGCAATTTGCATGGTAATTATATTTAACAAGAACAGCAATAAGGGAAATAGAAAGTGTAATGTTGTTATCAAGGCATAATTATTCTTGAATAATTCGGTGATTACAGTTTGCTGTGTTTGGAACTAATTGTCACCAGCCCCTTTCAGTGTGGCATACTCCCCCTCACTCCTGCAGCACTAATCTCAGGATGCCTCCAGCCTCTGGCTTCTGGACTTTTCCAGCCACACAGATTTTTTAGACTCCCAAATACAATACTCTGTGGCCCCTGGATTTGCACCTAGCTGAGCAAGCCCATGGAAATGAGTATGAGCATATCCTTCCAGCACCTTTGCTTCTCCCCAGAGCATCTCCCACACGTCCTGACAGCTCAGGGCAGCCCAGTGTGTCAGACAGGCTTGGGCCCAGCAGCAGGGGAACCCCAGGGACAGGATGGCTCCTCCAAGGCCATCCATGCAGGAGGGATGGAGCTGGGCACTGAGGCCTCCCAGTCTGACTGAGGAGGATGGGAACACAGCCTCACCCTGTGAACCACAGCTGCCAGAATTTCAGCTCACCACCCCAGAGAGGCGCATTCAGCTTCCTGCTGTGCGAGGCCTGGATGGCTAAACTGTGAGGCCTGTAGAGTTCTTCTTCTCAAAGGTTGGGGTGTGGCTAAACTGTGAGGCCTGTAGAGTTCTTCTCAAAGCTGGGAGTGTGCACTGAGATTTCAGCCACTGGAAGGGTCCCCCTGGTCCCACCATCCCTCTGCAACAGCCACCCTGCCTATCATCCCTGTGCCAGTGTTTCCCCCACAGCTCCAGGGTGAGGCTTGAAGGGACAGCAGAGCTGTGGTACAGAGCAAAACCTCTGTCCTTCCTTCCAATTGCAAGGAAAAGAGAGGGACCCACCTGGATAAAAGCCCTCTCCTCCTCCATAGCCCACCACACAAACTTCCTGTACAGTGGGGAGCTGTGCTCTGTACTTTTCCCATCCAAACCCCAAGAAATCAGAAAAGTGCTGTCCTAATCCTCCTCTGAGCTCGAGGAGACAAGGGGTAAGGGTAGCCAAACGCTGCTGCTGAGCTGCCTTCCAGGCTGCAGCCTCTCTGGCTGCCAGTTCTCCTCTTGGGAAATGAGTGTGCCGACTCTCAGCCAAGGAGCTGCTGCAGGGTGGGCACATGTACACCCAGCTCCAGGTCACACACATCACAGGGAGGGAGAGAAGGTGCTACACAACTGCAGCTGGATCTTCACAAGCTGAGAAAGAGCTCATCTGTCCTTAGAGACTCCCAAAGCAATGCCTGCAGGCTCCCTCGTGGGTTTCTGGGCACACATAGAGGACAGCCTGTTTTGGCCCTGCTCAGGACATTAAACCCTATTGTTTTCCTGGGCTAGCTCACTGATGACAGTCCCAAGAAAGATGAGAAAGGCCCTTGGAGCCAGGATTTAACTTCTGTGAGTACTCAGACACCTCATGTTCAGGTGTCTGAGTCCAGCTCATCTTCTCAGCTCTGAGCTCTTATAGTGCTTCAAGGAACGCTCAGAAATCCCTCAATCCCCTGAAACATAAAAAGGAGAAAAACACAACTGCTCTGTGATGTATAGCTGCTTTGCTACCCAAAAGAGCTCTGAAAACATCAGGCAAGGAATTCACTGGAGGCGATGTGCTTTGTAAATCACAGAGCACACCAATGTTTCAGGGTTTGGCAGTGGCTGAATTGGATCACTCAAGAGGCTGGTAACAAAGGAAGATGTAGGATAGGAAGGCAGGAGGGGTTGCAAGGTGCTGCCTGGAAGACACAGGAGTAAGAGGAAAGAGTTCTCAGGGAGAAAGTGTGGGAGCACGTGAGCTCAGGAGAGGCTGTGATCCACCGAATAGACTGAAGCTGGTGAAGCCTCAGGCTAGGAAAGTCATGCAGAACACTGGCATTTGAGATTTCCTTTCCTTTACTCTTACCTATACAAAAGGCAGATCACAAACACAGCTGAGTGCCAGTCTGCAGCCCAGTGACAGGCACTCCAGAGCCAATCCAAGCAAGACAGACTCTGGTGGGAGCAGATCCTGTTGCAGCCCTGAGCCCACACCTGTGCAGGAGGCACAGCTGGGTCTGCCTGTGCACAACACACTGTGGGACCCTTCAGACCCTCCATGACTTCCTGCAGGGTCTTGTGTATCCTGGATTCTGTTCACACAGCCTGCAGGGATCAGACATGGGAGGGATCACAGTGCTGGAGCCCAGGATGGGTAGATGCTCCCACTTGGGCTCCCTAAGTATGGGTCTCACACTCAGCAGTGTGTGCAAAGAGTCTGATGTTGGTTCAGCCGCAATGCTACAAGGTTCCAAAACCACTGTGGTTCCCTCTGCTTGCCTCACTAGAGGGGACACAGCCTTGAAAGGGGAGGGGGCCATGCTGGGAAGGACCAGGTACCCATTTCCCCAGTGTCCCAGAAAATCTTTCAGGTTCCACACCATTATGCAGCAACCATTTCCACAGGTCTATCAGATGTTCCTTTATCTTGTTTTTAACACATGCTAGCAATCTGTTCTGTCCTCTGCTGCTCACACTGCCTCTTACTCCCCTACCACGCCTTTTACCACATACCTCTGGCCACCTCTGTCCTGGACCTGCATGAGCAAAGTCACTCATGCACTTGTCAGAAGGGGACAGTTCCACACTATTCATCATCCTTTGTGAGTGTTTTGCTGCGCTGCAGCATTCCTCTGACGTGAGGATCAGCACTGTGTGTGGTACCAAAAAGGTGAACAAACAACAGATTTTCTTAGTAAGTGGTCCTGACTTTGGAGAAGAGCTCAGCTACAGATCAGGGTGAGACCACAATGTGATCAGAAGGGAAGGGAGCTGAGAAAGCTTCCAGGTAATCTTTCAGCTGGAAAGAAGGCTTACTCATATGGTTTACTCTATCTTTGGAGACAGAAAGGGTTGTTGAGGAGGGTAGGTGGAAGCCAGGGAAGCTCCTTGGCATTGCAACACCTCTCTAACCCCTTCCTTCTCCTTTGCTGTGGAACAGAAGACCTTGTGTCACTCCTACCTGTCAGGGATGCTGTATTAACCACCTGCTCCAACCCTTCTCTCTCTCAGAGGTTAGAGTTGGACTGGGAGATTTGGGAATGGTTCAGACATGAAGACAAGACCTCCTCATCAATGCCCTGCTAGGTCCCTTGGTAAAGCAGAGCTGCTTTGTTAATCATATCCGTGGATTAGCATGGGTTTATGAGCTCCACAAGGAAGCATTCAGAATCATAAATTGCATTTCACCACTTAGCCCAGGAGGATCTCTGGGGCTTGGTAGACAGATATAAAAGGAAATCTTTAGAGAGAACAAGGGGGATAACAAAGAGATTATCAGAACCAAGCCTGAAAATTAATAGACCAAATCAAAATTAATTAATGGACTAAATCCAATTAATAGACTAAATCAAATCCTCTTTGCAAATGTGGCCACCTCAATCACTGATCATCTTTTCACACTCCCATGAAGACAGACAGTTCAGCTTCTTCAGCGAAGTGGGCTAAGAAAGACCAGGCTGGAGCAGCAAGGGGAAATTTGGAGGTTTAAGGGTCAGAGCTACCCCTGAAAGGGGAAAAGCAGCTAGAAAGCCCAGGGTAGCCCTGGCACAGCAATGAATCCTGAAACAATTAAAAAGCTGGTATCTTCTCCCTTTAATGAAAACTACTATGTTGAAAACACGGTGAGTATTAAGAGCAGTTGTCGTCCTGCTGTTTGGCTTGTATCTGGATTAGATTTGTGCTAAGGATGCAATATGAGTCTGGCTAAGTATTGCTTTCCACAAATATTTGGCTTTTAAAAAGAGCCCAAATGTGGAGTTTATCACATTCAGACCCAAATAAACTACAGTGAATGAGAAGCTCAATAAAAACTAACAGGAGAACAAAACAAAGGGGCATAAAGGGTGGGCACAGCTGACCACAGGAGGAAAGCACAAGGTGGGACAGGGGCTTGGTAGGGTGGGAAGGAGGGAGGGGGGGAGAGAACAGAGGTGGGAGCAGCCCTGTCATCTTCTGGGGGTTTCACCAACTCATTTCAGGTCCCCACCTTCTCCATGTCAGTCCTGCCATGCAGGACCTGGTGAGACTATGCTCCTCCTGGACCATGAGTTTTCAGAGATGGAGCAGGAGGGAAAACCTGCCCTGGGAAAAAACAGTGTTATCTCAGCAGCAATAAGGGAAGTCCATAATGACCAGCTGGGCTGGAGACTTTGGAACTTGCACATGCCAATTCCATACTCTAACCACAAGAGGAAAACTGATCCAAACTGGCCTTGTAAGTGAAAATGCTGATGGAGGAAGGCTTTGAGATGTCATTTAGTTGTAAGAGGCTTGGCAGAGAGAGCACCAGCCTACCCTGTTTGCTGGGATAGAACTAATTTCCTTCTAAGTACCTGGTACAGTGCTGTGATTTGGATTTTGCATGAGAACAATGTTGATAACACACTGATGGTTTAGCTGTTCCTCAGTATGGCTTACCCTAAATTAAAGGTTTTTCAGAGGCAGCAAGCAGATGCACAAGAAGCAGGTGCACAAGAGGGAGCATGGCCAGGAAAGCTGACCCAAACTGGCCAAAGGGATATTTCTCACCACAGAACATCATACCCAGTGCACAAACTGGGGATGGTTGGCTGGAAGGCACCAATTGCTGATGGGGCATTTGCCAGTGAGTGTGAGGAATTGTGTTGTGCATCACTGGTCTGTCTTAGGTTTATTCCTCTCTACCCCTCTCCTTTTGATATTTATTATTGTTGTTATTACTATCTGTTAGTTTAATTCTATTATAAACCTTTTCTTACCTCAGCCTGTGGGTTTTGCCTTTTTCTAAATCTACTCCCCATCCCACCAGGGGAAGAGCAGGGCTCTGAGTGAGTCACAGCGAAGTACTTAGTTGCAGGTTGCAATTAAATCACAACACAGCCAAAACACCTCTTTCCTCTGAAAGAAGGAACTTCCACCCCTTAAAGGATCCTTTAGCTACTGCAAATGTAACTGTGATTTTGAAAGTTTGCAGGCTTTTCCAGCTGCCTGGTTGAAAGGAGGCTACCCTCTTTTCCATAGCAGAAGGGTTCTTTTAGAATGCAAGAATCTCAAAATTGCTCTTAAAACATGTGGTATAAATAATAGCGTCTCCTCACCTCCCCCCACTATGTCATCCAGTGTGTGATAACAAAATTGCCCCAGTGTGTGTGGTGTGAAGCCACAGCTGCAGCATCCTACACCCTACTTTGTGGCACTGCTTGAGCATCCAGGTTTCTGTGTCTGCATCCCTCTCTTTGATCTACGTGTTTAATGGAGTTGAGCCAAAAGGAAAAACTAAACAAGAACAAAACCCAACCAAATTAAAAAAAAAAAGCCCTCACACAACCCAAATGAAAGTCACGTTTGAGGACTTAGGTTTCCAGTTCACATGACACTTTGAAACCCATTTGCCTAATGGTATGTATTGCCTTTCTCAAACGACAAACAGAAAAAAAACCCACAATGAGGAAACAGAAAGTACTTCTTTTAATATAAAATGAATTAATCTGCAATTAATCATAAAAACAGGCCTATCTTCCTTTGGCTGTGCTCAGACAAAGATAGTTGCTATCTCCTATTTACTCCTGACTTGCCAGCATGAGAAAGGAGGCTGGAAATGGTTTTAATTCCTCATCATCGCTTGTGTCATCAGCACCACAGGTTGTCTTTGCTTTCATAAAACAGCCCCTGAAAAACAGGGATGCTGTGTGGGGTTTGAGACAAGCCTGTGGGCCAGGGCAGGCTGTGCGTGGCGCGGGGCAGAGCACCCGCTCAGGGAGGCGATGCTCAGAC